CACAGTAGGGACAGGCTCACACAGGCAACTACACACACACACACACACACACACACACACACACACACACATGCACACACTTGCATGCACAAAACAGACAAAAGACAATGTGTGTTTGTATGTCTTCTACATGCTGTGTTGATTGTTCTGTGAAACTGCAGATATGCATGCATTTTGTGTGTGTGTGGTGTGTGTGTGTGCGTGTCCGTCTCCATTCTTCTCCACTGAATGGCAGCGCAGGAGTCAGCCTGCCAATCAACTTTTGTACTCTTGTCAATTTAATAATATTTCTGAGCCCTGACCTCCATAGCGCTGCACTGCTGTGTGTGTGCATACATCTGTTTTTGTGTGCGAGCTCAAGTGTGTTCCTATATATTTCTCTATCTCTCCCTCTTTCACCTCGGTCTAACCCCCACCCCTCCCTCCTTCTCCATATCCCCTCTCTGGCCCGTCTCTCATTCTCTCCTTTATTAGAAGAAGATAGTGCGAATCCTTCATCTCTCCTCCACTAATTCTCTTGGCTATTGTCCCTCCGTTCAGCCTTCTGTCTCTCTGCACTCCTTCACTTGTGTCCTCCTTTCTTTTCTCGCTGTGATCTATATTGCTGGATTTTTTTTTAAACCCATGCCTCGGCCTCCTTCCTGTCCTTTCCTGTAATGCTTTAGATTTCTCTCGTTCTTTATTTTATGCTACCGCTTTCCATCCCCATCTTTCTTGCTTCTTTTCTCCCTTGAACCTCATCCCTCCATCACCTTATCCCTTTTCTAGGCCAGCTCCTCCCGTCTCATATTCAACATTGTCCCCCTTTGCTTTTTCATCATCATAGGCTCGTTTTGTCAACTCCATGTCCCTCTCTCATTCCTCACCCTCCCTCCATCCTTCCTTCCTCATCCCTCTCTTCCTCCCTCCACCCTGTTCGTTCCCTGGGGAGGTCAGTAATAATGGTAGTGATGGAGTGAGAGAGGGAGGTGCGATTATTGTCTTGTCGGGAGTCAGAGGAATCGATCGGCCCAGAAATATGAGGCGCGAGAAAGAGCCGCTGTGTCAGATACAATAACCACCCGCTCCCGGGGGCTTACACACATACATACACACACGTTTAGACACATACACACAACATACAGCCACATACCCATATTCGACACAAACATAAACATTTATTTGGTTCAACGCAAGTGCAGACACTGACACGCACACCCGCTCGTACCATCTTTCTTCTTCATTAACGCAATGCACACACATCTCTCTTCTGTGGTGGAGGAGAGTGGCGAGGCAGCCCAATCATCTACATGCTTTGATCTGAGATAAAGCATAGAAGTGGAACTGTTCTGATCATTCTTCATGCACAGATAAAGGGCAAAGCGAGGAAAATTGCTCACACACCTTTCACTCACGTAGCTATAAACAGACATAAACACACACATACACGCGCATGCTGAGACCTTTCACTGCTGTTGCCTGGCAACGTGGCCGAGTGTCCAATCCGAGCGGAGAACAGTGGCCAGTGATGTCACAGCTTCTGCTGACCAGCAGGTTTGAGAGAGAAAGCGAGACAGAGGAGGACGGGAGAAAGTTTGAACGGGAGAAAAAAAGGGGAAAAGGTCACAAAAAAAGAGTGGGTTGATGATGATGAGGGTTTGAAGGAAAAGAGGCAGAACAGGTGAAGAACAGGTCAAGGTGAAAGAGGGGATGCGAGAGAGCAAAAAGACCACGACTAAAGTACTCATACTTGTTTGTATTTTAATAGACAGAACATGACAGGTAATTCAACACAGCAGCCTGCTTTGTCAGTGTTAGTGAAGAGTTTGGTCTAAAGTGGCCTCAGTGTTCCTTGAACCGGCAATGAAGGCCACCAGTTCCTCCCTGTAGACCCTTTGCGCTTGTACCAAAAGACGAAGAAGAAGAGGGGGTGAGAGGAGCAGTGAAAAGATTTGAGTTTCAACCTTGGTAGCGCCGTGGGAGAGAGTGCTGTCTGTCTAGACAAGCCCAGCTCCCTACGGGTTGCCAAGATGATATAGAGAGGAGGGGAATGGTGTGAGGTGAAGGATGGAGGAGCGGAGGAGCGGAGGGCCGGAGGAAAAGGAGCGATTGAGAGGTATTAGGGCAGGAGAGGAATAGGTGTTGTAAAGGTGTAGGCGGTGTGCGTGTCTGAGACGGCGCAGGTCTCATGGTAGCCAACACTGTGAGTGTGTTTTAGCCCCCGCTGTTTCTCATACAAAACCTCAACCTCTGAAGTCTCTGCTCTGCTAGACCTACTGTTTACAATCCTGTGACTCCTCATGGGGCTACACCAGCACACATACACATATACAGTAGACTGGATTTTGAATCTTTCACCGTGTACAACTGATTCTTACTGTTGAAACTTCTAGGGTCTATCACTGATCTGTGGCCTGTCTCCTCTATAAGAAGAGGTATATGATGAATTATATGAATTAGAGCCAGTGTGTGCTCCAGGGCTGCGAGGCTGCAGTAGACATACGAGGGCCGAGCCGTACAGGGATACTGAACAAGTTTGGAGGCCTCAGAATTGTCCTGCAATGACCCATTATACACACATTCTCCATGTCTCCTGCGTCTTCCCACCTTCTTTACCTCCAGCTAACATCCTTTATCTAATCTCAAATTGCTCACCTTCATTGCCATCACTCTTTCTCTCTTCATTTGTTCTTTACTATTCCTCTACACCTCTTATTCTCTCTTAATAACCCCCAGTTCTCCCTCCCTGCCTCAGCCCCTCTCTCTCAGACACTGGAGTGATTGATGGAGCTCTAGAGGCCTCAGCCTCCACCCCGTCCTCCTCCCTGGGTCCCACTATCAGATCGCGAATGTGTATGTACATGTGTTAGTGTAGCTATTTATTATCTTACAAACTTCTAGTTGTAACCAAACACTTTGCGTAAACATAATCAAAGTAATACTAGTTTTACTCAAAATAATACTTATTTTGTTTTTCAAGTTAATAATATCATATATCATCGTATGTGTTTATGTCTACTTCAGTTGAGCTCTTTTGTTGTTGCCCCAATATCATCAAGGATGGAGTTTCGCTAGGTATGGTCTCCATGGTAACCTTAGACCTCCTTGGCACAGATAGCCCCCCCATGGCCACTGACTAATCAACACACACACATGCAGAGCACACAAGTTCCTATTGGTGCCACTCAGACAAACGCATACAGTTATACACACATGAAGGTGCACACACTGAAAATTATGCAGGTAGAATGGGGTCTGAACAGAAGTCACGGTCAAAGCCAGGCCGTCCAGACGACCTTTGACCCACAGTCTGTCACTGTCCTTGAACAGCTCTGGCCAATCAGTTCACTCATACACACATCCACAAACACTCTCTTGCTCCGCTAATTACAGACTAGTGACACTGAAGATTTGTCTGCGACTAAAGTTTGCTTGGTGTGCAACCTGTGCATTAAGGTATTGGAGTGTGTTATTAGTTGTTTGTTTGATTAGCACCACAAAAAAGACTGTAACCATTGTTTTCATTATTAATTAGTTGATAATCAATTCACCAATGAATCATTTGCTTTTAACATTTTTGAAAATGGTGAAAATTCCCATCAGAGTTTCCAAGGTGACATCCACAGAAATACAGCTATTTATGAAAAAAAATAGGAAAACTTTGTGTCTATCTCAGACACGTTTCTATGCTGATATTGGCAAATATACACTTCAAAATGTCAGTGCAGCAGTGTTTGTATGTATTTGAGGACAGGTTTTTAAAAGATGTCTCTGTATAATGGGTAGCACCTCCAGAGCACCGTCTTGTGCACTTTTTAGCGAGCCTTGATCCAGCAGTACATTAGTCTGTTATAAATCACCACATGAAGTATTTATTAGGTTAAACTTGGGAACTCTGCTGCCGTTAGCTTTTGAATTAGTGAACTCGCACCAAGGGAGAAGGAGAGGGGAAGATCAGCGGCCCGCCTCATCTTCTCTTCCAGGGATGGAGCCAGTCTGTTCGTCAGGATTAGAGAATCAAGAGTGCCACCTTGTGGTCAGCTCTGCCTACTGTCAGAGCAGCACATCGGCGCTTTTAGATTTGAAAATCTAGGCAGTTTTTCTGCTGAAACATGCTGTTCTGTTTCCTGGACATCATTCCCCAACTTTATTCTTTCACTTATTTAGCAGCTTTTTAGTCTGTTAATCTCATGAGGCCACTGATAGTGGCTCCTATCTACTTTACCTGCAATGTTCCACCTCAATGCCACATCTATCATATGTAGAAGTTCACAGTGTGGGTTTCCGTAGTACTCACTATGTGCAGCCTACAGTGTGGGGTGGTCAGTGGTACAGTGAGTGTCTGACAGAGTTTTTCCTTCTGCTCGGGTTAGAATGAAGCTGTTTTTGATAGCTGGGGATGTCTCACATCTTCTCTCGTTGGTGTTGACCTCCCTTCACAGACCACCTTACACCCACTAGTGACAACCTCATAAACACAAATATGATTGAGAGATAGTCATGACTCATGGAAGACAAAAGAGGCTACAAGTACCTGCTGAAATGGTTCCGTGTTGTGGAAAAACTCTGATGACTTGAGTTTTAAAGAGGTTTTGAAGGTGCACTGGGTCATGGATCATACAAATGTATCATACAGCCTTCAGTCACAATGTAAAGCCTGCTGTTTTTCTCTTGTGTGTGTGAGCGTGTCTGTGTGAGTGGCTGTTTCCAGCCGCGCCATCACTTTCCACCGGCATCGTCATCCCCCTCTTTTTCACCTCATCTATCTTTCAATCTCCTCGCTCACTCACTCTCTCCCACTCTCTAACTTCTTGTGTGTCCCCCTTTTTTTCTTTTTTCTTGCATTCTTCTTTGCTCTATACTGAGTTCCTACTCTTTTGTGCCTTACTTCCTGTTATGTTGCAGGATGTGGGGAGGAGGAGTGGCTTGGGGGTGTGGACTGTCATGTGTCAGAGAGAAAGAGAGGGAGGGATAGAGTCTCTCAACCATATGATTTAATACACGCTTTCTTTTTTGGCCAGAGACAGGCAGAGTGAGGGAGAGTGAGAATTTTTCTTTACGAAGCGTGCACACACGCTCTCACACAGACACAGATATGACCAAGACAGCAGCAATAGCAGCAAAGGACTTCACCAGTATGTGGTTGCCAGGTGAGTGACTGTCTGCTCAGCTCTCTCTCTCTCAGCTGGCCTTCATTTACCAAGACCAATTAAGCATTGAAGGGAACTGTGTGTATGTGTGTGTGTGTGTGTGTGTGTAAGAGAGAGAAAAGTGTGCCTATGCTGTTGATTAATGCCAGTGGGTCTAACAAGCTCAGCTAATTAGAGAACATCAAAGAGCGAGAGGTGGTACGAAGAAAACGATGGGGATGGATGATGGATGGATGGATGGATGGGTGGGTGGGTGGGGGGGTTTACGCCTGTCACGGGCAGAGGGAAAGGTCAGACACCTCGCCAGGCCTCAGCCTTGCTCTGTGTGTGTTTATATTGAATAGTGCATGCTAAAAAAAAGCTTGATGAAATACAGTAAAAATGGTTTTAATGCCTTTTGAAACATAGAGATAATAAAAAATCTGTGTTGCAGCATGCATGTTTGTCAGTATTTTTTATGCTTTTAAGTGATTTGTCATCATAGAACACCTTTTCTGTTTATGGCCAAGCACTGCAGCATTGTTACATCTGTGTTCGGCTTATGGATATTTAGCTGCTGAGGTTTCATCCCATGTAGTATTGAAGCCAGTGTTAACTTTCTGTGTGTGTGTGTGTGTGTGTGTGTGTGTGTGTGTGTGTGCGTGCGCGTGCTGGAGGTTGCACTAATTATTGCTTTGTTCATTTTTAAACCTCTCAGACACAAAGGTATTTGTATTTAAAAAGGCAGATGATCAAAAGGGGACATGGCTAAATTAATTTTCATTGTCCCTGTTTAAATTTTTTAAATGAAAACAAAGCAAAAGCCCCACAGCCTTGTTCTGGTGGTCACCTCCAGCTGCGAGAAGTGGCGTACACAGTCTCAGTCAACCGGCAACGAGGCTGTTAGCTGACTCACTAATTACCAGAAATCAATTCTTAAATGTCATTTAGCTCATATTTCTCAGTCATTGCTGTAATGGTGTGATATATATATAAAAAAATGGCATTTTTTAAGCATTGAGTGTTGTTTATCATGGAGTGATTGCATTGCTTAATATTCATAGTCATTTCTTAAGCTATGACCAGGTTACATCCTGATCACAAACTGCAGCAAACAAGAATATACCACATTGCATCACAATACAATTAAAATAAAGGTCCATCAATGCAAAAATTTAGACAGAGTGTCATAATAGTAATAGTAAATAGTTAAAAATAATAATGCATTTTGGAAAAACATTTTCACAAGCTACTGTTTAAGCCATGTCAGTCAAGGTTAAATGAACAGTTCAGCAGTTTCATTTTTTTTTTGCCAGAAAAAAAGAGAATAAATGAGGAATATTAAATGAAGGCTTTGTCTTCCTCACTTTTAATTAATGGTACGGTCACTATTCTCTTCTTGCCTCCTGCACATGCAACAATTTTCACCAAAGCAGTAAAAGAAAACATATTTTCTACACTGAAAAACTAGCATATTTCTGCATACAGTAAGGTTCTCACTGGCTGAGGCTTATATTTAAGAAATTAGTATATTAGCCTATGATTTAGTTATGTATGGACTTTTTATGCTTCACACAATGACATCAGTCCAATTCTAGCAGCATTTGCTTTTATTCATAAGGTGTTTCATGAGCTTTTATGACTTTAAGTCATATTTTCTGTGTAGTCGACTAAACTGACAGGCAGTCACTTACATTTGATAAAACAACCCGCAATGTCAGCGGCACAGGCTATAATGAAATGTCACAGCCTTAATGGTCAGGCCGTGGCTGTGATGTCTCAGATTTTCCTCTGGCTTCTCACTGTACTGTTAGATTTTCCTTTTCAGTTCCTCACTTTATTCACAAAGCCTGTCTTCATCTACTCATGCATTTTTATTTTCCTGTTCAGCTCCTTTTTTATTTTTCAACGTCCTCCCCATAGAGGTGTGCAAAAGGTGTTGAGCTGGGTAGAGGCTTTGATGCTCAGTTTTAAATGGAAAATGTTTCTTTGCCATAAAAATCTGTATCCTTGAGCGTTGCTTGGTTTTTGAAATCCTTAGTTGGTTGATGACTCCAGTTCCTGGACACCTGCCTTGGTGCTGGGTTTCTGCAGTGAAGTTTCATCTCAGTCAAAACAGCCAGAGGAGAATAACAGAAAAGGTCTGGGCTGAGCAGACACTGTTGTTCCTTTCTATTGCAGCATTTATTCATGACACAGGATTATACAGCATTAAATTTGGACTGTTTGAGATATAGTAAGCATGTTGTAACACAGTGGTCTCTCTGGGTCAAAGATAAACTCTGAGTGTTGCTGTTAGATTAGTATAGACTGTAACAGCTTAATGAGAGACCTGAGAGAGCGTAATTAAACTTTACACCACGTCCAAAGACAAAGTACTGAGCAACTGTCAAGAGATCTACCCTCTTATTCTCATGCTCTTTTACTCACTTTACTAAACTACTTCATTAAATGTGTTTAAAAAAAACTCAACATGTAACTCTACCCTTTGTCGAGTGAAATGAGCTATATGATTTTGTGTGTGTGTTGTTTAGCAGAGGGAGGTTTTATTTGAGTGTAAGAGAGCTAGAGAGAGTGAGAGAGAGTGAGCTCATATTAATAGCCTCACTAACAGTAAGTGTTGGGTTTAGCCCTCTGCGTTCAACCCGGTACAAGGGGAAGTCGGGAGGGGAAGTGAGAAAAAGACACTGCATCTTGATATACTGTCCCACCACGGTATTACTGACCACATTATCCACCATGCTACTGTCTGTAGGCCATTTTGAACCATGAATCAATACACACCATCCCCGTGTGCCCAGTGAGCAGGCAGTACAGTACCAGAGGTAGCACTTTGGGAACTTGGCATCATAGCTGTTTTATGAGCAGGACAGTTATTTTATATGATGGTTTTGGCTTTGGTACAGTACACCGCACATACTGATGGTCTGAGCAGAAGATAGTCCAATGTGTTAGAAGTGACATATTATTAATTTTACTGTGCATTTTGAGGTGTTATCTACTGTATGAACAAAGTTTTAAATGTGTGCCTCTTGAGAGGAAGATGTTACATTTTGGTGCAGAGTCGGTGTGTTTTTTTTAAATCAGGTATTGAGCAACGTTGGATAGTTTTTTGGTTTCACTAATAGCCATTCCTTACAACGACAAAACGGGAGCTGCATGCAATGCTGGAATAGCCACAAAATGACCCTAATAATAGAATAACCAGATGTTTGCATCCTAATCCAAATTTAACTTTTTTGCAGAAGTCCATTTATTTGAGGGAAATCCTGTGGTCAGTGTGTGTGTGTGTGTGTGTGTGTGTGTGCGCACACACGTGCCCTAACCCTGGGTTACCAGCAGTGTGGCAATAGAACGTAGCCATTCAAGCTGATCACCATGTCCCCCTTCCCCCCACCTGTTTAACTGAAACAACTCAGTTTCTGCTGCTGACCCTTCCTCCCATCAGAGAGCAAATCGCTTTGTCTGTGCGTTCTTGTCTTCATAATAGCCTTACTTGACTGATGCTTTGATTATTTAAACTTGGACTCGGGCCTGCGGTGGTCAGTGAATGAGGTTTGTGTCTTCGCCATGTGTCGCTGCTGCCCCCCAATGGTGAAAATCATTCTTGACCACTCGCTGTAGAAACTTAAATAAGAGTATTTTCTGTGCTGTGTGTCATATGGATAAAAACACTAATAAGCAAAAGAGAAAACTTTCATTTGTAGTAGTGGCAGCGCCCATGTCATCTGTAACATGAGAAACAACAGGATGAAGAGGGGAGATGATGGGGGGTGTGAAAGGGGAGAGAGGAAAAGAAGAGGGAGACTGAGAGTTTATTATGCAGGTGGCAGATATAATTAGTTGGTCGTTGGGCAGATTTGCATGTTTTCACAAAAGGGAAGTAGCTGTGTGTGTGTGTGTGTGTGTGTGTGTGTGTGAGAGAGAGAGAGAGAGAGAGAGAGGGGGAACACAAGAGCAAAAAATTTCAAATGGACACAGCAAAAAATTGTCTTTCAGTTTGTGGTTTCAGACAAATAAAAAAGCTTTTATAGTGAAATAATACTAGTGGGTGATTAACAAAAACAAAAACATACACACACATTGTCCCTCACCTGAAGTCACTATCATTCCCATGTTTCCTACACTCTGTTCTGCAAAAACCACCTGTTGCCTTTGTGATAAACAGAATTAGAGACTTAAATTTCTTGCCTCTCTTCACTGACTGCTGTTTCCAAGGGGCTGTCCCAGTACAGTATCAACCAGGAAGTGATGTGGTCTTGTAATGAACGACACTACTTCAGACTTTTTTAAAGTCAAGCTCCCACGTAAATACCTTGAGTTAAATTTGGAACAAGTTAACACTGTGGGTCAGCCTACTCTATGTTAAACCACTATTTGGAAAGAATGAATGAATGTGGGCCGCGTGTTGTGAATGATTCAGCCACATTGTTTGGTGTACAGTGTGTAGGCCGTGGTTTATGACCTACTCAACCCTAGTTTATCTAAGATTGACACCCTTGGCATCCTCTTTCCTCTCTTATTATCGAGATCAGCTGCTTCGTAAATGACTTTTATTCTGCTGCGGTGTGCATTTTTTGTGTTGTGTGTGTGTGTGTGTGTGTGTGTGTGTGAGAGAGAGAGAGAGAGAGAGGGAACACAAGAGCAAAAAATTTCAAATGGACACAAGTTTAGGAACCAGTGGCTCACTCTAGTTTATCTGCATGTCTTCTTCATACAGACATCAGGATGTCAAAGCCAGTAGAGGGTGAGAAAGTAGGGGCTGACTCACCACTGGAGGGCACAAGTAAGGTGCACATTAACACACGCTGACTATATTATAAAAGTTTACCTGCCTGATACAGAATGTCGCAGTTGTCTGTTTTCGCTGAAATGTGTGTTCAGTTTGTCACTTTTTCCTTTCACTCCCACGCAGATTCAGAGCGGAATGGACCTGAATCAAATCACCAGGTACGTTTGAATCCTGTGATTATTATGTTTATCTCCCACCCCATTCACCTACATTCTGTCACTGAGCCGACAAAAGACAATGAGATGACACCAGATGCTGATTATTTCTCAGGTAATGTTATAGCCAGAACATGTTAGAAAATAATTTGGAAAAAAAGTTCATCATAAGAACAAGGTGACACCTTCAAACAGCTCATTTTGTCCAATGAACAGTCGAAATTTCAAAGACATTTACAGTTTTATGCAGACAAAAGCAGCAAATCCTCAAATGCAGCAATCAATATCGTGCATTTTTGCTTGATAATTCACTAAAAGAACTGATCAAAATAAATCAAATTGAATGTATTTAAAGTGATTTTTGGCAGTTTTTTCTGATAATTAAGTAATTTCTGTTTCTCCTCTTGCAGGCTCAGTCAATGAAAGTCAATCCCTTTACCCTTTCACCAACCCTGAGCAGCAGCAAGGTGAGTGTGTGTGTGTGTGTGTGTGTGTGTGTGAGAGAGAGAGAGTGCCTGTGCATGTCCAGGCCTATGTTTGTGCATCTTTTATGTCTTAACGTCACATAATCGTTTATTGACAGTAAAGCTGCCCCAGCTTTGTATTCATTTGTATGCACTGAATTGCTCCTTTGTCATGTTGGACACCGAGTCTCATAATGTGTTGACTCTCCACCCAGTCCTCAGTGTAAATAAATTCACTAAGAGCAGAGAGTATGATGGTACTCTGCCAACCAAAACAATCTGTAACTCACCAAAAGGTGAAATCTTCCTCATTTGCATACCACAAGAGATAAGCAAATCAGTAAGCTAGAAGAGTCCAGCACTCAGTTCACACAGTGCCTGATTCTGAGGAAATATATCGTCTCTGTGTGCAAGAAAAAGAGAAACTAGTAGACTCCCGTGTCCTGAGACAAATTTCTGATCAGTGTACATGTGACTGATTATACACATAGAATTTAAGTAATTAACACTGCCCATCATGACCTTAAGTATCCAGGTAAGTGAATGGAGTTGTAGTTGTTTTCTCTAATCTGACCAGCACTGGGTTGGGTGGTCTTATGTTTTTCTCTCTCACTGTCTGTGTAGTGTTTTTTTTACAGTTACATGCTACCACTTATGTTGGAAAGCAGCAGCACAATAAAGGAAATGTTTTGAGGGAAGGAAGCTCATTTTATGTTTTGTGTTTTGGATACATGTATGTTTTTTAAATTGATATTGATCGACATTTACGCTGCTGTTTTCTGTCTTCCTCACAGAATAAGATGGAGGAGTGTGGTGAGATGTCCCCGGCCCTTCCTCTGTCTCATGGCCCAACCCCCTCACAAACAGCCCTGCAACATACACAGCTCATGCTGACCGGCTCACAACTAGCAGGGGTAGGACATACTCTTGATATATGCACCCAGACACACGCACACACTTGCTTTGCTTTTATCGTGCTTGCTTTTCTTGTGCTGCTTTTTGAACATTTGGTTTCCTTCTTTGTCTCCTCCTGTCCATTGCTCCTCTCTTCCTCTCCTCTCCTCTCCTTTCCTCTTTCTCTTCGCCAGTTGACAGCTCTGTTGCCAGCACAGCAGCAGCTGTTGCTGCAGCAGGCTCAGGCACAGCTCCTGGCTGCAGCTGTACAGCAGTCCAGTGCAGCCCATGCTGCCCATGCAGTCGCCCAAGCCAGTCAGCAAGCTCAGGCAGCAGCTGCAGCAGCAAATCAGCAAGCCCAGCAGCAGCAGGCAGGACTAACAGGCCAGCAGGCCCAGTCGCAGTCCCAGGGGCAGGGACAGAGCACACAGGAACAGGCAGCCCAAAGTGGCCCTGTCCCACCTCCTCCACCGCAGCTCACCCTCTCCCAGCCAATCCAGCTCACAGCCCAGGTACTGACTGCCAATCAGAGCCACTTCCTGATGAGCGGCTTGATTGAGGAACCTGTGTCAAACCATGGAAAAACTCTTCTTGCATATCTGTTGTATAGTTTATGATTCGCAGTTTCCACCTTGCATGAATGCACACATTTTCCCTTTCTTTTCTCCATGTCATGCAATAACAAATTTTTTCCGCTTACCTTTGTGCTTTCTATACATCCAAATCTGCTCCTGTTCTCAGCTGGAGATAGATTACATACTAGTACATGTTTCTGACTTGACCCTCTAATTTTTGTAGTCTTTTTTTCTGTGCTTTCTCTCTTGATTGAACAGGACATCCAGCAGTTGCTGCAGCTTCAACAGTTGGTGTTGGTGCCTGGCCACCCGCTCCAGTCTCCTGCCCAGTTCCTTCTCCCACAGGCACAGCAGGGTCAGCAAGGTGGGGAGGCTTCTTACAAGAATAGAATTGTATGTTTTTCAGTTACTGATGTGAATATAAAATTTGATTTTTGCCATAATTATTTCCCACAGGACTCCTATCAACACCAAATCTTATTTCGCTACCTCAGCAAAATCAAGGGAGCCTGCTCTCTGCTCCAACTAGAATGGGACTCCAAGCACAGGTAGGAGGAAACTTTCTAGCTTTAGTCAGTGGAAAGATGCTTCCTTCTCTCTCATTCTCACTTTCAGTCCTCTGATTTTGTACTTGCTGCAGCGTGATAAATGTGCAGATGTGGGCGGCGGTGGAGGCGTGACCACAATGCCATCAGTAACATCTCACCCTGAGGAGCCCAGTGACCTGGAGGAACTGGAACAGTTCGCCCGCACTTTCAAACAGAGACGCATCAAACTAGGCTTCACACAGGTATGGAGGTGTACGTGCAGGTTCCCTCACTATCAGATGTGAATGTTTTGACTTGTCTGAAATGTCCTTCTTTGATCTCTCCACCAGGGAGATGTAGGCTTGGCCATGGGGAAGCTGTATGGCAACGATTTCAGCCAGACGACCATCTCCCGCTTTGAAGCCCTCAACCTGAGCTTTAAGAACATGTGCAAGCTGAAGCCACTGCTTGAGAAGTGGCTCAATGATGCAGGTGCTGTCTTCAAAATAACAGCATTTTACATTTTGACTATTATGTGTAGAGTTTAACTGTTATATTTAGTCTGACATGCAGTTTATTTTTATGTTTGTGTGTGTTTGCTTTCCTCCATTAGAGACCATGTCCATAGACAGTACCCTGCCCAGCCCTAGCTCCCTGTCCTCTCCCTCACTCGGCTTCGAGGGCGTTCCTGGTCGCCGCAGAAAGAAGAGAACCAGCATTGAGACGAATGTACGTGTGGCCCTGGAGCGCTCATTCATGACGGTAAGATAATTAACCGTATAATTTAATTTAATAATGAAGAAATCGAAATGTATTCCAAATTTGAAAGAGTTTATTAAACATATCCTTCACCCTTATATTTATTCATACACTTGGATGTATTGATTTTTGCCTGGCCCAAGTACAAAACACATTTGTGACTGAGGTAGATAAAATGACCCTGAACCTGCCTGATCATGTTTTTTATAGCATCAGTTTATGTAAATAAATACCAATGTGTGTAACTCTGTCACCACTGCACATGACTTTTCAGAGATTTTAAAGCATCATCTTAATACAGGACAATGATTTGTTGCACTAGTCTCTGTGTTAATAAAATTGATTTATGTCCTGGTGTTTTACATGTTGTTTTACATGTTTGGAATCATGACTAAAACATGGCAGTGCTGAAATCTTCTAAATTCTTGTCTCCCTCACCTTCTGCAGAACCAGAAGCCTACCTCAGAGGAGATTCTGCTGATAGCAGAGCAGCTCAACATGGAGAAGGAGGTGATCCGGGTCTGGTTCTGCAACCGCAGGCAGAAAGAGAAACGCATCAATCCCACTAGTGCCACCCCTCCCCTGCCGAGCCAGCCCCCCACTGCCCCACACAAACCGCCCTGCTACAGCCCTCACATGGTAAACATCTCTAGTACATTTGTTAGTTTAACTGACAAAAAGGCATCACATCACCTGTCCTGTATGAAGAAGAAGAATATGTAATATATCATCTAAATAATCAAGCAATCAAACTTTATGCATTTATTTATTTGTACAAATTTATGCAATTCAGGTAAAAGACAGTAAGACAGAAAAAGACAATTAGCTAAACAGTGAATGCTGAATTGTAAAATTAGTAAAATGGAATTAAAATAAATTCCCCATAGGAGTGCGTGTGTGTGGTTGTTCGTCTATGTGTTAGCCCTGCGATGGATTGGCAACCTGTCCTGGGTGTACCCCGCCTTCACCCGATTGCCGGCCGGGATTGGCTCCGGCCCCCCATGATTCTTCTATAGCATGCTCTTCTTTTTAATGATTTTCATAATCTTTACTGGAGCTGCAGCATCCAAACCTGTGGCCAACCTTGACTCTTATAAGATGAAGGTGTGGATATAACTAGATTAGGTGCTAAGACCTTTGAGGCCATAATAACATAATGAACTGTTTTTAAGCATGTCTGTTATTTAGCTATCTGCAATTTCAGAAACCTGAATCTATCTTTCTGCCAGATGTCCAGCCAGCTGTCACAGGCCGTGACAAGTCTCAGCAGCACAACAGTGACTACCATGTCCTCCGTCTGCCCCCTGGCGTCCACTTTGACCTCCACCCACCCCTCTCTCAGTTCTGCAACCTCCCCGGTAACTCCTCCTCCTCCTCCTCCTCCCCGCAGCACAGCCAGCCCAGCCACTCCAGCCACTCCCAGCCACAGCACACTGAACCTTAACGCAGGGTAAGATGTCACAACACATTGTCTGGGAGTCCCCGGTTGGGACATGTTGAGGGCAACTTTGAAATGATGAAAAAAGTATGTTTTTCTCTTACCTTTAGGGAAATTCGCCCATTCGGCTAGTTGGGGCTTTTATTTGTATCTGTTTCTGAAGGGACTAGTATGCTTAAACAGGATTGCTTGTCAGATGGTTATACAGTATGAGCGTAACCCTGAGATTTCTGCCTCCATCCTGATACAGTGGAGCCAAAGGAAGTTTGTTTGTGGTGTAAAATGCTACACTTTAAAAATTCAGCAGCAACGAACTATGCTTCAGGAGAATACACTATGTGCAGTTTTTATTAGAACTACTCTCTACAGATGAAGTAGTCCCTATAAAACTGTTAACAGTTTGTCACAGAAACTGTTATAGTTTCTGGAAAAACATGTTCCTGTTTCACTCTTATGAACACCACAGACAAAATTCCATTTGTTTCCAATTAGTTTGGCAACAAAAATGTTGAGAGGTGGTATCTTCTAGGTAGTCACCAGTCAGTCAGAACTGATGAAACCTCATGGATGAGAGGTGAAACGTCTTCGACCTAGAAATCTAGTGTTTTTCAGTTTACTATGACCTGGATGACTGAGAATCTGCACAGACATATCTTCTAGGTAGCACTAGAGGTGAGAAAGTAGGAAAAGACCCTTTAATTTTTAAGTCTGTTTGGTTTTCTTTCCATAAAAGATTCATTTATATTACACACAGTGCAAATGCACACAACCACACAACTCCATAAACATATTCACAGTGACTGTCCTGCACCAAGCTGGGTTCACCAGCAGTTTGTAGTTAAGTGGTTGATTCTGTACACACACACACACACACACACACACACACACATTGTGGTTCCATAATTTCAGTGGACATTACTCTGACTTAAATTCACTTCCTGGTAACTCACCCTAACCTTAACCCAAGTCATCACTGTAAAAGTTAGCAAGTTACATTTTAGGGGCTTGCTTTCTGTCCCCACAAGCATGTCAAGTCCGCACAGTGTGACTGCGTAAAGAGATTTACATCCCCACAATATGAGTAACACCACCAACATACACACCCACATGCTCACCGATATCACACCATACCATTGGGCAGCACTGCTTCCCCTGTGCAGCAGTATTTTTAACCCTGTGTGTGTTTGTGTGTTGCTCTTGTGTTCACAGCCTATGGCGTATGGGTAAAAAGAACGGTGACGTGTCTAACTACATCACTGATTTTGCTGCAAACCTGAGGTGAATGCGACAGAGACACACATGCAGATATACAGTATTAAATCACTTCTGTATTATAAAGGCATAGTCAATGAAGGTCTACTTGTTTTATAATATTTTCCAACATGTTCTCCTTCTTTCTGCATTTCTGACCTTTGGTTTACACCTGTGCAGCTAACTCTCAGCACACTACTGCTCTTTACATGTACAGGGCTGAATTTGCCCTCTGCTTGTCTTTGCTGCTAAACCTGCTTTTTTCTCGCCTGTTGTATATGTGCTTACACATGTATGGTGCTGTGTGTGTTTGTGTGTGTGGGTGTGACCAAACAGGAACACTGTGATGGGAGTTAACACAGGGATGAACCAAGCCCTCCTCGGTAACAATCCCCTGGCCACTATCCAAGGTGTGTGTGAGAGAGATATTGAAAGGCAAATAGGTTTATTTCAGGAGGGAGAAAATAGGTGCTCAGCATCAGCAGCTGTGATTTAATATGATTCAGAGGTAAAGGCTGAGGTGAAGCTGTATGTAGACAGTAGATTTTGCTCCTTCCAAAAACATACACAAACCTTTGTTTGTCAAACACTCCTATACACACATAAATGCTCAAATTGAGACACGTACTTTACACGACAAATCCCTTTTCACACACCTTCCTACACTTGAGAACAATATGAGAATAGCACAGGACAAAAGACCAGCACACAGTCCTGACAAGAATTAGCAGAGCTTATTTTTAATCATACTCTGTGTGGAGAGGACGAGAAGGGGGAGACGGACATATTAAAAAGAGAAGTGTGATGATGAGTAAAACAGTTATGCATGGTAGGTGAATCAAATCGCACTGTGAGACTGTAGACTGGAGGCACAGATGAATAGGCATGCCAAGGGCGTTTGCTCATCCACAGTATCAGGCAGCTGAAAGAGAAAAACTCATAGCAAAGAATAACTTATTTCTTATTTGTTGCCTTCTATGAATCCATCCCATCATGTGTCTGTGTGTGAGTGATGACCTTTAATGTGCGGGCTGTGTTTTAATGTGTGCACCTGTGCCTTTCATCTCCTCATTTCATCAATAGTCATCATCAGTAATGTTAATTATCAAACGGAAAAGTCACTAGATTCATATTTTACACAGGGGTGTACCAGTTGTTAGAAATAACAGCGTCTTCACCGAAACAGACCAAGATGCAGTGTATTCACGACATGTTGCACTTGTCATAAAAAAAAATCTCTTCTGCTGTTGCTCTGCAGTCACAAACATTACATTGCTTCACGTGTGTCGTGTTTATAAAAGGAGAGACAGCTAATCATGCACCTTGTTTCCACAACGACAGATCACTCAGGCCAGCTTACCTGTTGCTGTGCTGTATATACAGATTATTAGACAATACTCTGTTGTTACAACACACTTTTGTCTCTACTGGCGGCACACTGCAGCACACAAAGATAAACACTGCTGGTGTCACTTTGCGTTGTTTTAGAAAAGATAAATGTTTCCCAACTCTCACTCAAATGGTTCTTCCCAGAAAAACAGACAGGTGCTTTCTGAGCACCTCGTGGCCCCTCCCCACATTAAGCTGTGACGGTTATTCTCGGCTTACTTCTGCTAAATACAACAAGTTCAGGCACTTTCTCTGGCTTGGCTCTCTGTTGTAGGAAATTATTAACTTGAGTTGTGGTATATGAGAAAGGCTGACAGACAGCCGAGAACCCCAGAACATCAATTAAAACACTTTTAACAGACAGCTCCTCAAAGGCCCTGAATGTTACTTATCAATGAGGAAAAAATAACAAAAGATAACCCTTTTATTTAAGTGTTTGAAGGAGGATTAAGGAGACAAAAATTTTACGTGACAAGGGGTCAGAGGAATACACAATGCAATAAACAAACAAATAAAAAAAAAACATAATCATACCAACATCGAAAAGCAAAAATGAAAAGTAAAATAACTAATTCTAAATACAAAAAAGTGTCTAGCTGCGGATTATCCCTTTAACTTTTTCCCTTTCTCTCTTTCCATCAGCCCTAGCAGCCAGTGGTGGCCAGCTGCCTCTTTCCAGTCTTGAGGGAGGCAGCCAGGTGGTGCTGGGGTCAGCCCCACCCCCTGCTCCCCTTCCCCCTGCTCCAGCCCTGCCTCTTCCTGCTCCTCCAGCGAAATGGCACACAGCCCACCCTCTTTGAGTGGGGCCAAGATTGAGTGACCATGCCAAGAGCTAATCAAAGAGGAGGAGGAGGAGGAAGGAGGAAGCAAAAACCTCACCTTTCACACCAAAGCTATCTCTTTCTCTCTCTTGCGCTCTTCTTCCGTTATTTCTTTCACGGTGCCTCTCTCTCTCTCTCTCTCTCCCAGTCTTTCAATGCCAAAAATACACAGAATGAAAGAGGAGAGCGGGAGGGAAAGAAGTGAAAGAGGGGAGAAGGGGGAAAGGGGAAGATTGAAACCAAAAATCTTTATCTATCCAAACAGATGGAGACGAGGCACCATGGGACCTTTTTGTCAATAACATGTGGCATCGACATGGCACCTCTCCACTCTTTCTGTCTGAAGGAAAACAAACCAATGACTCTTCAACAAAGAGACAGAAGAGACAGCAGAGATGGATGTCGAAGTGCATAAACCAAAAATAACAAAAGATAACTTTACTGTGTGACAAAGGAATGGTGGAACCGACAAAAAATTAAGAGGAGGACTGTGCTTATGTTTTACTTTTTACTTTTTTTTTTACAATTTTGAAAAGCTTCGGGTCTGAAAGAAGAGGAGCAGGGCAGATAAGTTTAAACCAAAAATTTACCTGAGGAGGAGGCGGAGGACAAAAAAAAAAAAAAAACCCAAACAAAATAACAACCATACCAAAATCTCAAAAACCAAAAATACGGAGAGAAAAGCTTTATTTGAAGGACATGTAAATACTGAAGCTATCCAGGACCAGGACTCTATTGCTACTGCTACTCACACACACAAACGCCAAGAGCCAATCCATTTTCCCATCGACTCATGCTTGTTTGCATCTATTCATGGGTCTCACAGGTTTTCATGATATTTTGAATCATTTTGTAAAAGATTGTTAGAAGGTCAGTACAGGTTTTAAAAGACTAGAATAGCATTTTTTTTTATTTCCCTGATCAGTATCACTTTGTTACACTGGAAAAGACCATTTGAGAATTGTTTTGGTCTTTGTTTGTTTTTTATTTATTAGTGTCATTTTAAAGTCCGGCTTTTATTTATTGTTGCAGCTTTTCTAGTGTTAGCTTTTGCAATTTGAATCATCATCATTGTCATCATCTTTGTCTTCATCGTACATGTTTGTGTCATCAACGTGCATTTTGAATTTAATGTAACTTTTCTGCAGGAGCAGGGATGACAAAAGTGAAAAGGTGCTTGTCACACTCCTCAGCAAGTGCCAGCCGATCAGAAACTCTGTTTTCTGGTACTGTGAGTTGAATTCAAGGTGTAAAGGACTTTATTAAAACCTAAACATAACATTTTGTGCTGTTAAAGATGTTACCACTGACTCCGTGGCTAAATGAACATGCCCTGGAAACTTTGCACACAGCACATGGCATTTGTTAGGAGTGGCAACCATTTTGAAAGTATGAAATAGGGCTGTGATTAGATCCCTGAAGTAATAAACCATGAGACTGAAGGCTAAATAAGTCAATAAAGCCAAGTTTAGTCACAGATGGCTCTCATTCTTGCCTCGTCAATCAGCATAGATGCTCCAACACCTGTTTGTCTAGACATGTTTATGGATATTTGTTTGTTTCCATCATCACTCCATCAGTCAGATTTCACTGTCATTTTCCACCTCAGAATGCCATTAATTCTCAAATGGAAACCAAAGTATTATCAAGGCTCGGCTCATCTTAAAGAGCCCCAGCCAAGACATATGAACACAGTAAAGACACTGAGGGGTGTGGGTGGCTGAGAGCAGGACGTTACCGCTGGAAGCCCCCCTGGTGTTACCCCCTCCACCTGACATCCAGAAACTCACAGGGGAAGCTTTATTTAGGGAACTGATCCTTGACTCCGAACCCCTGGAATAAAGGGTGCGCTGGACAGGTGAATGAGGGACACACTGTAATGAGGATCAGGCATCACACTTTTTTGTAAGAGGATACCAAAAACAAACCCAAACCAAAAAAAAAACAAATGCAACCCAAGGAATGACGGAAGCAAACCAAAAAGAACCCTAACCAAATGTGGCTGGAGGAATGAGGGGAGGAGGAAGAAGAGCAGGTGCAGCATCTCTCTGTCTGCCTGTTAGCTTTAGGGCTGCAGCATTCGGCCCACTCTGAAACTGTGTAGCATGGAGGGAGGCAGGCAGACAGACAGGCAAGCAGAAGAAGGGCAGACGATCCCTCCCCTCCTCTGCCTCTCTCTCTCGCCCTCTCTCTCTTTCTCCCTTTCTCTCTCCAGCTTGACTCTCTGGTCCTGGATGGAGCAAAACGCAAATGACCTCACTGAACTGAAATCTTCTAAAAATCTGTTTTTATTTTTCTGTTCTTGGTTCTGATGGTTTTATCTCTGCTGTGTCTCTTGATGCCGTTTTATGTACTGTACTTTAGTGCTTATTACTCATTTGGAATAACGTACTTGCTTACATACTACAAGAGCTCCTTATTTTTTTTGTAGTCGTGCTAGAGATTTTTATCAGGTGGCTGGCAAAAATACTGTGAAAATTTAGCTTCCAGATTTTTATTAGATAAAGAAACAGACTGTCTTGGCAGAAAAAAAAAGACAACGCAAAAAGCCAAAAACAAAGAATTAAAAAAACCAAATACTGAACCAAACCAAACACAGTAGAGAGGAAGAGGAATGACCTTCTCTCCATGAGGCAAAGAAGTGAGTTAGTGTCCGTTTGTCCGAAGTTAAATTGTGCATTTTTCTGTATGGAAGTGTTGATGGGATGTGGGAAAAGAAAAATAAATAGGGTGTTGTCATTCATTAACACACACTTAGATACAGAATAATACACAGAGCAACTGCCTCGGTCAAGTTGACGGTTTGAGTGTTGGATGTAAACGTATCCAAAGAAGGTTTGATCCACAGCAGAAAAACAGCCGACACACACGACAAACCGTTTCACAAACCAAACTAGATGTGGGGTTTGCTTCTTAAAGGTGAAACCTTTTCTCCACATTGACTCTTAGACGGAATGTATCTGTTAGTGCTTCTATAGATTTTGTAGAAAAAAGATCTATGTTCTACTGCTTACCTATCGCTAATGTATTAAAAAGAAAACTTACAAAAAGACAGAAAAAAGATCCTAAAAACATTGATAATAATAACTTGATTTTAGACCAAAAATTTTAACTATCTCTCTTTGGACTTTTTTATTTCTCCTTAAAACTGATGACTTTTGACTTGTTATTTATTCAGGGTAGGGTTGATTTATTTGCTTGGTATCCTTTTTGTCGTGCAATTTTATTAGTTAATTTATTTCTATAGGTGCTTCTTTCATATTCTGGAATGTATTTGTGATGGATTTGTTTTGCCCCCTGCTCAAGTTCTTTCTTACTTCTTTAAACCAAAAATACCTGAAATGCAACCACAGGTCCTGTAGGGACATAATAAGGGAATATGGCTGATTGGACGGTCAGCCATAAAGAGACGACTCTCCTCTTAAAGGGGAGGGGAAGCTCATGGTAGTGAGAGGCAGCACTGTGCGGATGGACACCTCATGAAAAATAAATTTATGAGCTCTATGGACACGCACTTGACTCCCAATGAGAAGGAAAAGGCAAGTTGAAATTCAGTTTCAGTGGGAAAAGCATAGATATAATTTATGTGAGAAAAACTGCCTGAGTTACAACATGAGTTGTTCTTTGAGGCACAGTGCTGTCTCTGTTCTCTATATTTTCTCCACAGCGAGAACACACTGAAAGCTTTACAGCTACACAACCAAAAATACAAACGATCAACTGGGGCAAAGGCTAAGGTTTTTTACATGATAGAGAAGAAAGAAGGAGGCAAGAGAGGAAGAAGGCGATTTTGAATTCCCACTCACAAATTGCCCTCTAACTTCTCACTTTGTCTCTTTTTTATGTTTCTATATCTCTTTTTCTTTCCACTTTTCTATAAGTTGGTTTTAACTTTTTTCTTCATCCACTGTAGGATGTAAAAGAGAGATAGTTCATCATATACCTCATATTCTTTGATGATAAACCAAATAGATGAATGCTTTAAAATGCGGGGTTCAAGTGAGGATCAGGGTACTGGGATGATGGTATGTGTGGCCAGTGTGTTTATGTGACCGTGAGCAGAAATGATGAGGCTAGGTGAAAGGTCAAAGGTTGTTCTACTGACCGAGGCAAACACAGAGACTTGGCATTGATCTGGGAAGTAACAGATCCTGGAATAGATTGTAGTTTTTCTCCATGGGTTCAGAAGGGGCCATTTAAGGCCAAAGGGACGAACTGGTTCATGCTCCGGTCTGCACACGCGCACACCTTGTCCCCCTGGAAAACACCCCCCACTGTCTGTGTTGAGCTTTGAACACAGCCCTCTCCTCATATCTGCCCTTCGCTGCTTCCTCCCCATCAAACATGAACTGTGGGCTTAATGCTGCTCTTTGGCACAGATCTAGGATCAAATCTGGATCCATTTTGGCTTAAAAAAAAGCTTTTCAATTTGTCTCAGAGCAACTTTACAACTGAGGTCACCGTACCCTCTCTTACCTTTAGGTCTTTATGGCCTGATGAGGTGGCATATTGACCACTTGATGTCCATTTGACTCTGGAAGCACCGCAGGGCTGGTAACCAGGGAACGGCTGAGACTGAGGTTGCTAGGTGACACATCCAGACACTTCTCACAACTCTGTGTGTGTTGAAAGTGGAAGTTGGAGGAAGAGGTGCACATGCGATCCAACTATTCTCTGAGTGTATTCAGGGAAAATGGAAGGCAAGCTGCACTTTTCTGTGAGTCTCAGGGTTTGAGGGACCGAGTGTGGAGTGCAGCTCTCTGTGGTGGGGATACCCCCTTTTGAATGATACCAAAGTCAATGCCCTGTCACATGATCCAGCACAACAGACATGCTCCCTAAAATCCTGATGGCCACCTGAGTGTTCGGAAATGCCACTTTCTTTCTTC